ACTATGACTTAATTTTATTATACAAAAAATACATTTAATTATATTGCATTTATGTTTTGATACTTTATCTAAAAGGATTCCATTAGAGAGCACACAATGCAATAGCATATTCATATTAGTCTGTACACAGTAACTTTTCACTGCTTTACCAATATTTTAATTTAAATTGGCTAATTAGCAATATATACTATAAAAACTCTTTCCTTTATTACATAAAGATTAATAACTATAAAAATTATTATATTTAATTAATGATAAGTATTTTAGTTACACATCAAATCAAATAATAATTATATCAAACTTTATATAGTAGAATTATTAAAATGTGATAGAGTGGATTTTATATGATATTCCAGGAGTAGGTTTTTCTACGAATCAAATCTATCGAGAAGATGGATATCGACAAGAGGAACATCCATTTGAGGATCGTAGTTTTCATTGTAAATATGATGACTCTACATTCCTTTATGCTGTATTTGATGGTCATGAAGGTACTAAGGCAGCCAACTTTGCTATGCAAAGGATGGCTGCAGAGATCTTGCTTGGACAATTAAATGACAAATCAACGGACGAGGAAGTAAAGGAAGTTCTTCGGTAACAATTTCATTGATATGTAAAAAATTTAAATAAATAATTGAATAAACGTTTCAAACAACTTTAACATATATTTTGCTGAAATAATTTTAGTTTATCTTTTGTTGGATAAACTAATGTGTTACAGTTGCAACCAGAGATCTTCTATATGTAAAATATTTATTCTACAGACAAGCATTCATAGCAGTTGAGAAAGGATATCAGGAATCAATTGGTGATTTATTAGCAGAACGAGCTAGTCTGCAGTTTGATATACCTGATGGACTGACTCCTTATGAAACTTATCAAAAGTTTCCAGACTTGGTTAGTCATAATATTAAAATTACAGCTGTAATTTTTAATGTATTATTATAATTTATTTTTTGTAGGTTGATAAGTTAAATGCGCTAAATTGCGAGCTATCAGCTGGAACTAGTGCTGTGGTTGCTTTAGTCTACAGAGGGAAGCTTTACGTCGCAAATGTTGGAGATAGTAGAGCATTGTTATGCAAAACAGATAGCAATCAAGTTTTACGAGTAGTACAATTAAGCTTAGATCATGACTTGAGAAATGAAGATGAACTTTTGCGATTATCTCAACTAGGTTTGGATGTTGAATCAATCAGACAAGGTAAGTTTGACATACTTTATTCATTGGACATTTACTTTAATAAAAAAGGATTCTGATAAATAGAAGTATATATGGCAGGATCTCATCTTGGAAATCAGGAAAATACACGTTGCCTTGGTAATTATCTTGTTAAGGGAGGATACAGAGAGTTCGACGAACTAACAGCTTCTATGGCAGAGCCGATTATTGCCGAACCAGAAATCCACGGAAGTATCGAGCTCGACGAATCTTGTAGATTTTTATTACTTATGTCACGTGGCCTGTATAAATCATTAGAAGAAGCGACTGGAACAGATCAAGTCAATAAGGAATTAGCTTTGATAGCCGTCGAGCAGGTAGTTAACCTAAAGCCTAAATAAATCTTGATATAAATCTTAATTGAACAGTCAGTTAAAATTTTCTATAAATTTATTTTACAATATTTAGTTTCGAGTACAATCGACTTTAACTGGAGTCGCTCAGGCGGTAGTTGACAAGGTCGTAAGAATTCATCATGATATAAACATGAGCAACACACAGAATACCATGACCACTGGCAAGCGTGACGACATAACTCTTTTAGTGCGGAACTTTAACTTCCCTCTACCACATGCACTAAAGAGTCCGACGAGTCGACCCGATCAATCAGTCAGATTTAATCCCATGGTGCAAACTGCGCCAATTAATGTGCCGGATAATGAGGACTTATCGAGCACCAGCACAGGTGTTACAGATGAGAATGCCGATACATCGACAACTGAAACGTCAACGACATCAGATTTGTATTCGCCTGGTGCTAGAGTGGCTGAGCGAAATGCTAGAATTAAGCCTTATGTAGATTTTTCTGAATATTATGAGAACGTTGAAAAGAGAAGGAAAGAAGGAACTCTACCAGAAGATATAGACTTTTGACATTTTGTTTATTTTAAATGATCAAAAATATATTCAAATACTTCATTTATATAAATTATATATCAATAATTGAGATCAGCACATTATGACAGTGTTAATATATATGAATGTTCCTATCACAGCAATATAACTTTAAGATTGTATTTATATTTATTAACCAAAATATAAAATTTATTAATTTTCTAACACAGTATTATTGTATTCTTATCATCAAAATTTATTATCAGAATAGGACTTGGACATATATTACACGACTTGTATCTACATATCACAAGTATTACAAATATTTCGTTGGATTAGATTTCAAGCGCTCGAATGCAGCCTTTTCGAGACATTCTCTGTGATCTGGATGCGCTATTTGGATCAGTGCATTCGCCCTTTGTCGTAAAGTTTTACCGAAAAGATCTGCCACTCCGTGTTCCGTAACTATATAATGCGCGTGAGCTCTTGTTACCACTACTCCAGCCCCTGTATAAAAGACACATTACATATAATATCATAGATTTATTAAATAAATAAAACATTTATCTCTCTCAAAACATTCGTTTGCTGATCTCATACCAAGTTTCAGCACCGGTTGTATTTTACTCTCCCCTTGGCTGGTAACCGAGGGGAACGCGACAATAGCTTTTCCAAGGCCGTCTTGACTGATCGCTGCGCCTCGAAGAAAATCCAGTTGACCGCCGAAACCAGAATATATTTTACAACCCAAACTATCCGAGCACACCTGGCCAGTGAGGTCCATCTCGATACAAGAGTTAATAGCCGTCATTTTCGGCTGCATGGAGACAACTCGGGGATCGTTCACATAATTGATCGCTAGCATCTCTAGCATTGCGATAATTACAATTACAAAAGAACGCGGAAACATCCTTTTCCAAAGCCATCAAGGTAAACCAATTGATCATAATTACCGACGACCGGATTGTTGTGTAGGAAATCGTATAATCTTTTCGTGCCGACAGCGAAGGAGCTTACTATGCGTCCTCTGTGCTTGGTCTTACACCTATTCGTGATGTTACCATGCTGGACCAAGTCGACCATTGCATCGCAAATGTTTTCAGAATGTACGCCTAGGTCTTTGTGATTGATCAAAGCGCAGAGCACTGCGTCAGGGATGCAGCCGATGCCGAGCTGCAATGTTGCTCCATCTTCAATCAAACGTTGCGCGATAATTTTACCTATCTCTTGCTCAAGATCGTTAGGTGGTGGACAAGCTACGCAAGGCAGAGGACAGTCATATCTCACCGCCCAATCAAAATGACTCGAATGTATCACTGTGTCACCATACGACCTCGGCATGTGCTCATTTACTTGCGCTGAAAAAGAATACTTTCTTAATAATCTTAAATATTTATTTAAAGATATTAATATTATATCAACATACACAGGGTGCTCCAAATTTAAATGGTCAAACTTTAAGGACTTTTTTCCCTCAATTTAACAATTTCCTACACGCCCCCAAAGTTTAGCGAAACACTATATATTAGAATAGGTTTGTCTTGTTGTCATTATTATGATTATTATTGTCAACATCATAATTATTATTAATTCAAAACAAACCGATAAGAACTTTGCTTGTGCAAATAGCGGCACGGGTACAATCCGCGCTCACACCGAGCGAGCAGAATCCACGCGCGTCAGGCATGCTCACATGGATTAGCGCAATATCTGGCATAATCCTTTTTTCAAAGAACAATCTCGGTGCCTCGTGTAGAAATACCGGGATACAATCCGCTCGTCCCTCATTTATTGCCTCCCTAAGAGAAGCGCCCACATACAGACTGATGGATCTAAAGTGCTCTTAAATATCGTTGCAGATATCATTATGTGTTTCTCACTTCTCAGGCATTGTGTTATCAATAGGATTAATTAATGTAAATACTGTACTCTCAAATTCCGGATTGGCGAATGGTGTATCTCCTTCAAGACTCATATGTACTAATCTCACTCCACGCAAATTATTACACACTCCATGCTCGGTCATGGCACGCACTAATTCCGTTGGCGTAGCCGCACCACCTTGTATGAAAACTAAATGCTCTGGGAAAGAAAATAGTTTTTTTATAACAAACTTATCTATCTTGCAATAGCATTTATAACAATATTGAAAAGAAAAGTTTCAAATTACTATAGGTTTTATTCAGACAGAATTAAAAAAAATTGGAATTATGTTAAAAATTAAAACAATGTTCAAGAATTCAATGAATCTAAATAATTTCTGTATAATAAAATAAATATTGATCTCTACTAAAATGTAATGCGTATAAGTACCTGAATTTATGATTTTGACTGCATCTTCCACGCAAACCCATTTTGGACATCGTTTTAAAGGTTGGGAAGGTTCCCTCAAGCTTTGCAAGTATCGCCATCCGCATAATTGGAAAGGTTTCGCGTGCTGAATTTTTCCAAATACTGATCTTAGATTTCGGAACATTTTCTCATCGTCTTAGAACCGATAAGGCTAGATCTCCAAGCTCTCGTTAATAACACGACAAAATGTTATATAAAAATTGGTTTGAAACATAATCTAAAAAATCTCGCTGTTCACAAATGTCTAGCAAAGCGAATTCATTGACATTTTTATAAATCACTATTTGAACATATGATTGGCGGCGTTCGATTTTGCGACAACTTCACAATCCATAAACGAATTACTGATGTGAATGTCGCGTATTTAATTTGAATATAAACATACGCAAATATAATTTCATTATTTTATTTTTTAATGTAAAAAATATACAGGAGAGATATAATAAAGTACTAACGGTAGATCGAAGTTCTAATCATATAATTTGTTCCTGCGTACTATTTCAACTTTTTCACATTACAATGTGTGATAACACGAAAAATTATACAAAGGAACGTTGACAATTTAATATAAAAATGTTTTACATCTAGAAACGGCATTTAAGAGTTGTGCCATTTTCTATTTAAATCGTGTTCCAAGGCACAAGAACACGTTTTTTTCGCGATATAAAATACACGTGACTTAAATCTTATATTGATATATCTATGTATATATATGGAAACGAGGTGCAACTTCGCATTACAAATTCTTACATACATAATGATACAATTTAGCGCATTTTTCGGTCTAGTACATGTTCCTCTCTCTCTTTTTCCCTTATTCTAGAAGGCCGGTAAATTCTTCTAGTAAGAGAGCACATACAATGTCATACATCATATAAGAAGACACTTCGCGACACTTTGATGGCTGTTGTGCGTGGTTAAAATACACAGGAGACCGATTGTAAAATGCTATTAAATAAGTTTCCTACATTATATGTTTTTAAATTTATGGAGCGGGCATCACTTTTAGGCGTTCGAACGCGGCTTTCTCGAGCGTTTCTCTGTGATCGGGATGAGCCACCTGAATTAATTCATATGCACGTTGCTGAAGACTCTTACCAAATAGACTGGCAATTCCCTGCTCTGTTACTACGTATCGTACCACTGCTCTGTTGGTGACTACTCCAGCACCTGTTAGCATAGCATGATTGATTACAATTTATTTTATTTTGCAGCTATTAAACCTAACTAAGGTTAAACATTCACGTTTTAATTAATAAGGTGATTTTATTTACTTACCTGAGGATAGAACTGGTTGTATTTTACTTTGGCCTTTAGAGGTGACTGATTGAAGCGCTATAATCGGTTTTCCTTGTCGGTCTTCGCTCATCGCGGCACCCGTGATAAAATCTAGCTGTCCACCGAAACCGGAATACATTCTCGTACCAATACTGTCCGCACAGATCTGACCGGTGATATCCACTTCGATACACGAATTAATGGCCGTCATCTTCGGTTGTTTGGCAACCATTCTGGGATCATTGACGTAATCCACCGCCAGCATCTCTGTAAGAGACAAAAACTATCAAATATGTCATTTCGAAAACTAACAATAATTATAAACGAAAGACGAACCAACCTATGAAAGGATTGTTGTCCATAAAGTCATAGAGCTTCTCCGAACCCACGCAAAATGAGCCGACAATTCGGCCCTGGTGTAACGTCTTCTTATTGTTCGTGATGCAGCCCTTATTCACAAGATCAACTACACCATCGCTGAACATCTCACTGTGAATACCCAAGTCCTTGTGATTACCTAGTAACGACAATACAGCGTCAGGTATGCTGCCAATACCCAGCTGCAACGTAGCACCGTTCACCACCAAATTCTCAGCGATATATTTGCCGATCATCTGTTCAGCCTTGGAAGGCGCCTTCACCGGATGAACAGGCAGCGGTTTGTGATGTTCCACGGCAAAATCCAAATGACTTTCGTGAATGAGAGCGTCGCCGAAGGTCCTAGGCATGTATTTATTGACTAAACCTGCGAAAAATTTAAATTTCCTTTAAATTCTGTTATCAAAAGAGACTAATCTTGTAAAATGTTCCGAGATTTACCTACGACACGTTTGGAATGACTCACAGCGGACCGAGCACAGTCTATACTGGTGCCGAAGGAGCAGTAACCCTTTTCATCCGGAGGAGATACATGAATAAGAGAGATGTCAGGCTTTAGATAGCCCTCTTTGAAGAGACGCGGAATCTCGTGCAGGAAAATGGGAATGCAGTCGGCGTTGCCTGCGTTCACCGCGGGTCGCACGTTACCACCGATGAATAAGCTAATGGATCTAAAATGCTCTAAACATATGTAAAATGCATTAGATTTCTAAAAATAAATTTATTACACAAAGATTTTATTCTTAAAGTCTTTGAATTAATTCAGATTTTTTTCAGCAAAAATCTAATTTCTTTTTCTAAACTTTTTTTTGAAGTTAATTGTTAAAAATTCCTCATCTCTCTTAAAAATAAAAGTATATTTATAAATTTCAAAAGACATTTAAAAAAAAACTAAAATTTTACGTACAAACTTGTTCAGGCAAAAAATTATGCAAAGTAGAGTTAAAAGAGACAAAAGTCAGCCGTGCAGAGTCAGCTGTGCGGCGCAAAAGTATGAAGAACAAAACAACGCGTTAAATGCGAGTTGTTATTGAGATATTACAAGGAAAATAGCAAGAGATTACGTATGTGCACGAATGTAACATACTTGCGTTTTCTGGCTTAGCAAACGGGGCTGGTCCCTCGAGATGCATGTGATATAAACGGACATTTCTTACATCACAGCGTACCCCATAGTCGGTCATCGCTCTCAGTAATTCAACGGGTGTCGCCGCGGCGCCCTGAACATACACCATCTGATCTGCAAATAAAACAAAATTGAGAAACATTCTTTCTATGCGCAAGTTCCATCAAAGCAAAATTCATCGAAATTAAATCGGCACTGATGTGAAATCGAATAGTAAGATTTTGTAATCTATTTTTTCGCATTACGGTATTTAAACGCAACTTTTCATGCCCTAAAACTGTATCAGAGTAATGACATTTCTTATCATTTTTCCATTTTGCACTTTAATTTTATCTTATCATATGTATATAAATTTCGATGAACAATTTAATATTTATATGGATAAGATTTGCATTTACGTAATTTAACATTATATGGTTTTATCGTAATGCAATTTGTAATAAGAATTTATCGGTACATTTTTGCAGTAAATCTTATGATGAACGACACAATCAATCTTTTTCAGGATATTATAACATATGTGTGTATTATACTATTGACAAATGTTATTGCAATATAGCCTTTGTAATCATATTCAATTACAAAGGTTAACAAAGAAAAAAATTATTCTACGCTAAACTGATATGAAGCTAACTAAACGTTCCAGAACTTTTGTACTTTGGATTCCAACACAGATTATAGTACGTTATAGTTTAATATTTACACGCCGCGGTTTATCGTAATAATGACAAATCTCTTAGTAAATATTTAAGTGTTATATATTTATCAGATTGATTACTGATCTATTTTCTATAGCTGTGTGAACTAATATAAATTTTTTTAGAATTTAAATAAAATATTGTAGGTATATCTATACGATATATTTTTTTGATTAAAGCAAGAAAAAGTTCTAGTATATAATCTAATGCATAAATTAAGAAACAGATTTTATTTTATTAAATCCAAGTATGTCTAGAATATTAGTAACAATTTTTGTAGGGTATTACTTATCGAGACTGCAAACCGAGCTGCAAACTAATTGACAATTCTACACACATTCCACTATTATGAAATATTAATTTTATCTATAGTATGAAAAAGTATGTCTATTACCAAATTGACTTTTTAATAATAAACAGATATTCGACAGAAGTTTTTATCACACATATCTTATCGAAATTCTTGTTAAGTATAGGAATATGAATTCCTATATTTACTTTAAAATGCATCGGCATTATATTATTCAATGTGTTTATAAAAAATACGATTCATTCATTCAATACATACATAATTCATTGAATTAATTTAAAAAACAGTTTTAAATTCAGACAGTCTTTAAAGATACATAATAATGCAAATATTATTACAAGAGGGAATTTTTAATTTTCCCGTACAATAAGTAATATTATTATACTTTGATCTCAAGTCTTATCAGTTATTATATACGTATATATCGGTAATATGTTTTACGCCTATGACTCTCGTACCTACGTCATATAACTACAATACATAGACGTGTTTTCTTATTGAGAGATACCGTTAATAATCCTGAAAATTCTAGATATTGAGATAGATTTAAGAGACTACAAAAATAAATTCATATAAAATGCATTTCTTTAAAATGTAGATAAAACGAGCATGATCGCACGGAAAGAGAATCGATATATAGATTACTGCACATATTGTTTACGTTACGGATAATCTGATTTACTAACGGTAAAATGCTAGTTAACGAAACTTTGGTTGACGATTGCAGGCTATTTTTAAACAAGAACTCTCGACTTTGATATTTATATATACATATAAATGCATATTTGCATATTTGCATATTTGCATATTAAAGTCAATATTGGTAATGGTAATTCATTTTTCTAGTATCATTTACACAATTGTCAATGTTTTTTTTTCATCGATTGAAAAATGAAAATGTGTTTATAAAACAAATAAAAGAACTGTGAGAATCATTTATAAATCACAAATATAAAATTTACAGAACTCATACGATTTAAATTATACACGGCATGGGAATAAATTAGAAATAGCAGTGAAAGTGTCAAGAACACCTTACGATAGAATAATTACATCATTTTAGACTATAAAGAATAAAAAAAAATAATGTACCGTGAATGTAATTCTAGAAACAAGCTCTGTACGGTTTACATTTATATCATTTGCATTATGGATATATATTTATACGAACTTTTTTATACATATATAAATTGCGAAATTATTTATGGACAAAATAGAGAATAAAATTAATTTTTCAATATTTTTACACAAGCAAATATATTACGAGTCAAATAAATACTAATAAATAAAGCTCTCGATGTTAAAACAAGAAAACGATAAAGTATAAAAGGGCAATTCGAGAGTCATTGATAATTATAAATAAAAAGTATCACATATAAAAATTTAGAAATATAATTAAGAAAAACTCAAAATGCATACATAACATTTTTCGACTCTTGGATTGAGCCTCCTTCAGATGTGAAACTTTATATTTCTAAATTTTTATACGTGATACTTTTTATTTATAATTATCAATGCATCTCGAATTGCCCTTTACTTTATCCTTTTATTATTACGAGTCAAGTTATTAATAATGGTAATGAACTATTTTTATATTATGATTGCTCAACATCGATCATCAGTAGTGTTTTCTTTATCTGCAGATATGTAAATGCTTCGTTTACGTCCTAACAAACTATCATTTTCTCAATAACTGGCATACCAAATCGATTTTATCGCAAATGCTTGAAAAATTTACGTAAGCACACTTCATATAAGCAACGTTAGCATTATTTTGTTCCAATTTTTATAATATATGAAACATGAATGAATATTGATATTCACTAATATAACAAAAATGTGATTTAGTTTTGAGAGTTTCGCAAGAGACGAAAATATATATTTTGATTAAGGTATTTATTATCTTGTTTAAATAAAAAAATCAGTTTTTGAAAAAAAATCCTCTCAAAACTAAATCACACAATTAATATAAGTTATTTAATTGGAAATACATAATATAGATAATCTATCTTATCTAAAATTTTCCTAATTAAATTTTAAGGATAATTTTTACTTTTCTACATAAATTTACTATATATAAATTTAAATGTTTACACATATTTGACTTATCAATATATGTATAAACATTTATTATATAAAAGAAATCTAAAGAGACATTCTGTCTAAAGTCTTATTGTTATCACAGCGCGCTTAGAAAATAATTCTTTTATGTTTTCTTAATTGTTATTGAACGTTAATTTACATAAAACACAAACAGATGTATACGATGAATATTAATCTTAATCTTAGTTTGCAAAGGAAACTAGTATCGAACGTAAGAAAATTAAAAATTACAACAATACAACACAATTATGAAAAAATAATTACATTACAGTTAGTCCATAGATGCGTTTATCTGTATTGTCTAGGCTAAGGTCGTATCAAAAATAATGCCGCGAATTCAAGGCGAAATGCTAAGAATATCTCGAGTTGGTACCAGCAATAGATTATCTCATAAGTAGGGACCTGTCATGGCGCAAAATTTGGCCAAACACAAATACGTGTAACATATCGAGCGATCAAATTTTACGGAGAGATAATATAGAAAAATTTATGCCGAATACGCTTGTGCTAACCTAAAAATATACAAGTCAATTTTGATTACTTACTCGAGTATCTGTGATGGAATTTAAAGTAATCTAGCTAGACGCATATGCGTTTTACAAAAATTATATAATGATAATTACAAATCATTTAAAACTCAAACGAGTACGATATGAAACGTTCTACATATATTTACTTTAAAAATTGATCTATATGTATAAGAACCGTAATGTTTAATTGTTTCGTTCATAATAGAATTTCTATAAACAAAAGTTTAAAAATACAAATATTTGTAAAGTTTAAATCACGTGATAACCTTCGCGGTGTATTACTGTCAATCTAATAGCATATGTTGCCTACAGTTTAATCCAATCACGAGGACGATAAGCGGCTCGTTAGGAAGGAAGTCCAATATATGTATATAATAGGCAGCTCTTGAAAATCGACGCTCAACTGCATATATTGTACATTCCGATCATCCATTCAGTTCTAGAATATCTCAGTCTAAAATATCTCAGGCTATTATATACCTCACTCTTGAATATTCGGAAGAACAATATGGACAAACAATATGGAAAGATTTGACATTAAAAAATAAATTTTATCAAAGTAAAGAAATAGCTGATATTGCACAACATGTCATAAGTGTCACGTAATCACAACTATTTTATAATTGAAAATTATAGAGTATTAATTTGCAATAAAAAAAAAAGTTCCAGATTAAAATATTTCTAAAACCTGTTAGCAGATGACGAACGCAGATCTATACGTCATCGAGACTGCATTTGAATACTTTATTATAACTGCGTCAACATTTCGTATGCCGTAAGCAAATCACTGTCTCAATTTTTACTCAGTCTCATCTATGATATAGGATGCTTTTTATATGGTAATACAAAGCAATCCAAAGGTCATTCCATCCTCCTTGATATTCCATGAATGATAAAGATAAAACGATACTAGTGTCGATCTATGCCACTAAATGGAAAACACCCATATAGAAAGAAAGTCGTCATTATAGAATCAGTTTTAGAAATAGAGTGGTGATCCAAGATTCGATTAATCGAGCCGAGAAATCCATACGACGCGCCTTTTTCGAGGTCAGCAAGGGATGAAAAATAATCGATTACCTGAGTCTAGTTCGGCCTGTTCGATGGCCTCGTCGGCGGTCTTCAGCCAACAGGGTTCCTTGCCGGGGATTGGCATCGAGGGTTCGTTCGCATATGTAAAGAAGGTCTTCCTCGTGGCATGCTGGAGGCAGGGCCGCGACGCGGACGTCATCGTCGCGAGTGCCCTTGTTAGGCTAGTGATTCGTTTAAGGGCCGCCATCACTTCGTCTCCGGTTACGTCGTCTACTGGTTGTCACCGTTGGTGCAATCGCTCCCGCGGGCACACCGTACACTCGACTGGTACTCGACTAACTCAGGACTTAACTCGCAAGCGCGTCGAGTGAGCATCAAGAACCCCTGACCCCTCCTATCCATACACCTCCGTGGGAAACGCGACGGCCACTACTCTACTGCCGCGGTGCCGCGCGCAATTCAATAAATGACAGATCGCATAGAGCTGAAACGTGAACGACGCGTAAACGGCGTAAACTACTAAACTGAATGCAGCGCCAGATTTGCGAGCCACACGCATGAATATAGCGCCGTATCGCTAGCCATATGAACGTAGGCGTCACGAGTTTCGGCTCTCGTTTTCTTGCACTTCTCGCTCTCGCCGGTACTGGGCTATGTTCGGAATCATCATCTGAGTGCACTCAGGTGTCGTGTTATCCTTGTTTATCATTCGTGAACAAGTCTGAGTGCATCCGTATGACGATTCTAAACGCACCCCTGGTTAAGTAGTTTAGCACTTACGGCTAACTTCGCAGCGTTGTTTTTTGCACGTCTCATTATCTAATACACACATATATATGTATATGATATACTATCAATACTGAAAAACTAATGTTAACAATAAGATAAGAAGCTTATTGTGGAACAAAAAATGTCAATGTTAGAAATGATATATATGTATGAAATATATAATACGTAAATTAATTAATTAATATTATTAATTGTTATAATATTTATTTGTTTTAAAATATTTAATGTCCATTTGATTCATGCAGAATGCAATCTGTTCCACTCATTTTAATGCAGCAGCGTACAAAGAATTGTCATGAATGCAATTTCTCTTAGGATATTCACTATAAAATATAGAAAAGAAAATTAAAATCTGATGCAGTGCCTACGCTGAATTATAAAATCATCAATATGCCAATGGTGTACAAGTGTATAAGTTTCTTTGCAGTGGTTAAGGAGTATTAGAAGGAGATTTTATTACATTTCAACTTTATAGCCAAGAAGGGGAGTATATTATTATTGTATATAATTTTTTATTGACTACTGCGTTGCATTTTGCCGAGCGGTAGACACAATATAAAATTTAATAATTTGTTCACTCTCAGGTCATATAATAATAAAATCTGCAATAATACTGCGACAATGATACTGCTTGAAGAGTGAATTTAAGAAACTGATCCAACTTCAAGGCGCTCATTAAATTTGTGTAAGCAAATTACATCACCAATCATGTTTATTTGCTCAGCAAACAAGCTAGTTACTTTGTCAACTTTTTTTCCATTATGCAATATTCGCAAAATGCTTATTTCTTGGAAATGTTACAGAAAATTGTGCATCTCTCTCTTGCGACAGCCATATAAATTGCTTCGTAAACTTTCCAATTGTATTCTGAGAGTCGTTTATAATTTATATTATCATTTTATGTGGAATGATCGATAAAAGTGCCTAATCGTCAAATTAAAGGTTCCGCTAGATAAAGAAATAAAACTGATTTTACGTACATTTTGTAATTTATATTATCGTGAAAAATATTTTTTCAAATTTGTTGTTATCTGAATTAATTCGAAATGCATGCTCGCGTGATAAATCGTCGATACCGCGATGCGATTACAATGCAGACGCGCAATCGTCATAGAGCGCATTGAAGAAACCGCCATTTTCGTCACTTGACGAATAATCAGGAGAAACGTCGAGGAATCGTATGGACCGATCCCTTCATTCGTGGACCTTACGAATAATTGCATCGATGTTCCTCTTAATTTTCCATGCCTCTCTTTCATATGAAATAATTGACATTTCCTTGAACTTGGTTCGAAGGAAACGTTCAACGATTCACTCAGTCCGAGCCACGTGATTGCACGTGCCTCGTCTTCCATCCTTTTCTCATTTCCCCCACCTCCGCGACTATTATTCTTTCTCATTTCTAAAGCATATATTTATGTCGTCTTTCACGATTTATTCTAAGGGACGCGACTCATTATAAAACACAAGACTGGGAGACGTCAAAATTTCGAGCCCTCCTCCCGCAATTTCAGTGTATTTATCTTTCTTCTTTCTTTCCCCCCTTCTGCAGTCACGTCAATCCGTCCTTCTTTCTCTCGAGACGCAGCCAAGCAGCGAAGCAGTATCTTCTGCTGTTCGTCGGAGTGAACAGTGGTGGATCGGATAACGCGCGAGTGTGAAACGTTCTGAGAAGAAGTCTCCACCAAGATGTATTCCAAAACCATCAGCAATCATCAGGCGAACAAGGAGCACGTGCTCGCCGTGTCCCGGGATTTCGTCGCGCAGCCTCGTCTCAGTAAGTATCCACGTCGTCAGTGACGCTCGGGTACATAAGGCATCCGCGATTGGGCGTAGCATCTGATCGAGTCCCCAACCTGCGGTCAGCTGATCTCACTTGAAATTCTGCATCTCGCCAATTTCTCGCACGTAATCCCGAAAGATTAGATCGCCCGTCGATCTCCCTCAGAGGAGTTTGCGAACCTGCGAAGAGGACAGGGTGGAGGACGGTTCCTCGAGGACGCTCGCGGGTTTTATCGTTCTCGAAGTTCTCGAGCTGCCAGTGTCATGTGACTATGAGTAACAACTCGTGTTTGCTTGAGCGGCCTTCGTAGCTGTGTACTTTTAATTGCTCCTTTTAAGCTTTTGAAAAGTCTGGAGTCTGAAGACAGTTCTTTGATCTGTCTGAGGATATAAGAAAATAATTTACCAAATTGTTGTTTTCTTTAACTCAAAGGTACTTAAATGCTCTGTGATATTTTCACCTATGGGCGTAACTTTATTAGTACTGACAGTATCCATGAAATTATGATATAGTACAGTATGGAGATGTAGGTAGAATTATTCTTAAAAAAATTTTAGTTTATTAATATAATCAAAATGTTTATTGCCATATTTACGTTGTATTTTTATTTATTGCACTTATATAAATTTATATACAAGTATCAATTTATACATCAATTTTATATATTCAAGATAAATATAAAGTTAATAATAATTTTGTTTTTTTCTTCTAGCTTATAAAACAGTATCTGGAGTAAATGGTCCATTAGTGATATTGGATGAAGTGAAATTTCCAAAGTTTGCTGAAATCGTACAATTGAAGCTCGCCGATGGCTCTCTACGTTCCGGTCAAGTTTTGGAAGTTTCTGGCTCCAAAGCAGTGGTCCAAGTTTTTGAGGGCACATCTGGTATTGATGCAAAGAACACTCACTGCGAATTCACCGGTGACATCCTACGGACTCCTGTGTCCGAGGACATGTTGGGCCGTGTCTTCAATGGCTCGGGAAAACCGATTGACAAGGGACCGCCAATTCTTGCAGAGGATTTTTTGGACATTCAAGGACAGCCTATTAATCCGTGGTCTCGCATCTATCCAGAGGAAATGATTCAAACTGGAATATCAGCCATCGACGTTATGAACTCTATCGCTCGCGGTCAGAAGATTCCTATCTTTTCTGCTGCTGGTTTGCCGCATAACGAAGTATATCTTTTTATTATTTGCTTTTAATTATTTGCACAGGAATATATATATATATATATCCTAAAATTGAATTCAGTTTTCTTATGATACAAATTTTGTGACTTTGACATTCTGAATCAAGAAGATTTCACCCTTTAATTCTTACTTTATAGATTGCCGCGCAAATCTGTCGTCAAGCAGGTCTCGTAAAATTGCCCGGTAAATCGGTTCTTGATTCTCACGAGGACAACTTTGCCATCGTGTTCGCGGCTATGGGTGTCAACATGGAGACTGCACGTTTCTTCAAACAGGACTTCGAGGAGAATGGCTCTATGGAGAATGTGTGCTTGTTTTTGAATCTGGCTAACGATCCGACAATCGAGAGAATCATCACGCCTCGTCTCGCCCTAACGGCGGCCGAATTTTTGGCCTATCAATGCGAGAAACACGTGCTGGTTATTCTCACAGACATGTCCTCGTATGCTGAGGCGTTGCGTGAGGTCTCGGCCGCTCGTGAAGAGGTACCAGGTAGACGTGGTTTCCCTGGCTATATGTACACTGATCTCGCCACTATATACGAGCGTGCTGGTCGTGTGGAAGGACGCAACGGCTCCATCACGCAGATCCCAATTCTCACTATGCCGAACGATGATATCACTCATCCAATTCCCGATCTTACTGGATATATCACTGAGGGCCAGATCTACGTCGATCGTCAGCTGTACAATAGGCAAATCTATCCACCCGTGAATGTGTTGCCATCTTTGTCACGTCTCATGAAGTCCGCCATTGGCGAGGGTATGACGCGAAAGGATCACTCCGATGTGTCCAACCAATTGGTGAGTCGTCGTAAATTAGGAAAAAAATTATAAGCATATGTTAGTATATGAAATACAATTATAATGTACTTTTTCTCTTACAGTTCTCTTTTCTATAAGTATTCTATAGATATTTTTCCATAATTATTTTTTTATAATTCTAAATGTATCTTTCAGTATGCGTGTTACGCCATTGGAAAAGACGTCCAGGCGATGAAAGCCGTCGTAGGAGAAGAGGCGCTGACGCCAGACGATCTATTATACTTGGAATTTCTATCCAAGTTTGAGAAAAATTTTATCTCGCAGGGCAGCTACGAAAATCGCACGGTCTTTGAATCGTTGGACATCGGCTGGCAGCTTTTGCGAATCTTCCCCAAAGAAATGCTTAAGCGAATCCCAGCCAGCACCCTCGCGGAATTTTATCCGAGAGATTCCCGTCATTAATCGTTTTATTTGCCTTATGCGTAAGCTTATTTTAATGGAATTGCGCGTACAAATCCGATTTATCTTCTCTTCGACATTAAAATACTCCTGTATCTACAAGAAAGATTGATGTAACGTGATAAGGAAATGATTAAAGAAAATAGTTTGACGGTGTGTATACGTTATCGAAGCATAAAAGAAAATAAGGAGTAACGCGCTTTTGTTGCAGGCTAAAAAATATTAACGTTACAAGCTTACAGGATTGTATATCGTTTTTGATGTTGTGCAATGAGAGTATAAAATGGATAGTAATGATATTAATATATAAAGTAAATTGAAAAATTGCAAACAATTTATGAGCTTGCATAAAAGTTGTAAATTGCAGATTTGAGACATAATATGTTATCTCTATCATGAAAATAATAAACACTGGATATAATATTGTTTTAATATTTGAGGGTGTGTTTTACTTCAGAGC